ATTTTTATGTTCTTTTTTTCTACTTGGTTTCCTCGAGGATTTTCTGAAGCCAAATAGCCATTGCATTAATACTACGATAATTATTATTGAATTATTATCTTCCACATCGTCTGCCTACCACTGTTATCCTTGTACATCAGTATTAACGTAAATTTCTCGACGAATATCACATAAATCAGTCTCGAATCTTCTCTATACCTTTTGAATATTGAGACACTTACAAAACAAACGAAAATTGTAGGTAAGGATTGTTGGCTGTGAATAATTCGATGTAATTGTTCAACTCACGTGGTTGCATATTCGCAATTCCTGTCCCATCATTGCGACCATGATTTTACCTCTGAGGCTCATTAGAGTACGGTTTATATAATACTCATATGTATTAATATCTACAAAACATGGCAACACTGTCGGGACACACTAGGAACGGTTCATATAAATTCGTATATAATTGGGCTCCACTACGTAGTGAAAGTATAAATGGCTCAACAACGTGCGAAAAACATATAAAAATTTTCAAATGTTTGAAATCCTTTCCCCTCTAAGTGTCCCATGAGAGACAAAGATGAGGAGATATAATTGTCCTGACATACATACAGGAAAGGGTGGGCTCAAGAGCGCCCCGTTCATATGACGGGCTCAACAATATACCGTTTACACCTATATATATATATAGATTTATAAAGAGGAAAGATGAGATCATATGTAGATGAATGATTGCCAAGGTGAGATCATTTTGGAAAGTCGAGATCCATTTTCGGATCTCGACTTTTTCAATGTGTATATCAGAGTTTTTCAGACAATATCGATAAGATAGAGTTCTAATTTGAATTTCATGCCGGATCTCATCTGAACAATTTTTTACCGATTTTATACATCAGTAGTTCATGACTGTTGAAGATAGGAGGCGCTCTTGACGGAGTATATAAGTAGAGATATTTGAACAAAACTGAGATCCGAGAATCCGGCAACGTCGTGGAGCTCATGTTACCTCAATGTATCCTGTAACGTACATTTTGTAACTGTTTATTCTTTTTAACTATACTATGGAAATAAGAACGTAGGATATTGTTGGCAACACAATATTGAATATTCTACAAAAAATTTTCAGTGATATTGATTTTTTCATCAAAAGTGCAGAATTCGAAATGACTAATATGGCATAATTAGCTGTGAGTTTTTGGGGTTTGAGATAATCATTTTAGCCATGATCAGGAATTCAGGATAGTGGACAAATTTTTCATGATTATTATGGTCTGATTCTTTTCAAAATTGATATTTGTGGGTTTTCGGAGTTGGGAATAGTGAATTTTTTGAGAAGTATGTAAAATAAATTCAAGATGGCGAAATAATTTCGTTTTCGTGACCTGTTTCTATTCAAAATTTGTGTGGCTGATTTCGATGTGAGGGGTTATGTATTATTGTTTCACAAAATTCATATATTCAAGATGGCGCACGAGTTTTGTGATTACGGTCCGATTCTATTCGTATTTGATATGTAGGGGTTTTCGGGGTCGGAGATTGTGAATTCTTCATCAAAATTCATGGATTCAGAATGGCGGCTCCAAGATGGCGGACGTGTTTCATGTTCATGGTCCGATTCGGTTCACATTTGCTATGTGGGCATTTTCAGGGATAATAATCATTTTGTCAAAATCCACGAATTCAAGATGGCGGCGAGTTTTGTGAAAGTCACCAGTACTCAACGGGGTAGAAATTCCGTTCGCCCTAGAGGCAAAATACTTAGGAGTCATCTTTGACCATAAGTTAACATGGAATCAACACCTACGAAAAATTGTTGAAAAAAAGTACAGTAGCCTTCAATCTGTGCAGACGAATGTGCGGAAAAAATTGGGGACTGCAACCAAAAATGACCATATGGCTCGATGCCAGCGTCATCAGGCCTATGATAGCATATGGGTCAGTAGTTTGGTGGCCAAAGACACAACAGGCTGAAGTGATTCGAAGGCTCAGTGCTATTCAAAGGCAAGCGTGCCTGAGTGCCACTGGTGCAATGAAAACCACTCCAACAGCTGCTTCAGATGGTCCTCTTGAACCTACCACCACTACAAATATATATTCAAGGCGAAGCCAGAGCAGTCGTGAGTAGATTGTCAAGGGGTCAAGCACCCATAAGCAACGCGCACGGTAAAGACTATAGGAAGCTATATGAAGAGTTGGAAAGCGACCCCATCATGGGGATGCCAACGGATGGCATAATTCCAGAATATAGCGTTGAAAAAACTCCTAAAATAAGTATAACGGACAAAGAGGCATGGAAGGAAGGACCTCCTATCAATGCAGACATTGCTGTCTGTACGGACGGTTCCAAAACTGATGAAAGATCAGGAGCTGGTATTTATGGGGTCAAGCCAAAGACAAGAATCTCACTGAGCTTAGGCAAAAACGCGACGGTGTTTCAGGCAGAAATTATTGCAATACATCATTGCGTGAGAGAATTGATAACGCAAGAGTTCAAAGGCGAAACCATTGCAATCTTTTCAGATAGCCAGGCGGCAATCAAAGCAGTCAACTCTATGCAAGTTAACTCAAAACTAGTATAGGACTGCTCAGGAACCCTAAATGCACTGGGCAGTCAGAACAGATTGACTCTAGCATGGGTACCAGCACATACAGAAAAGGAGGGCAATGAAGAAGCAGACTCACTTGCCCGAGCAGGGGCAAACAAAGCTCTTAATGGCCCAGAATCCTTCTGTGGTATTGCGAGAGCTATACAAAAGACTAGTATCATATCATTGATGCAAACCAAATCTCAAGAAGTGGAACAACTCGCTAGGAATGAGACAGGCTGAAGAGTTTATTAAAAAACCATCGCCAACATTCACAGAATATCTACTAAGCCAGAAACGGAGTTCAACTAGAATACTAATAGGACTTCTCACAGGGCATTGTAGGCTCAACAAAAACATGAATACGATAGGTCTGACTGAAGAACTGCTGTGCAGGTTCTGTCAAGAAGAGGAAGAAACAGCAGTACACATACTTTGCCACTGTGAGGGCTTGTCAAGACTAAGGTTCTTCACGCTGGGTGAGGAAAAACCAGGAGCCCAGAGATACACAGGAGATCTGACAGCTAGCCTATGGAGTCTCATAGAGAAGGCGGGGATAGCCGAAGAACTCTAATCGATTTTGAGGGCAGACACAATAGATCTGAAAAGGTCGCAGTGTGGAGACAGGTAGCCCGAAGGCCCCATTCCAAATCTAAATCTAAATCTTTGTGATTACAACCTCATTCTATCAAGAGTTTTGAGGTCGTAGATTAGCATTTTTTTGACAAAACCCAATTTGGGTTGATCATTCAGGACTTAATCATTCAAGAAGAATTTCTATACTTTTGTTAAATAGAATTTTTCGAAGACAAGTGCACGAAAGGGAAAGATAATTTCTTGAATTTTACATAGGTCATTATATGAGTAACAGATTCGAAAATTTGCCGTGAATAGAAAATAGGTATTTTTGTTCTTCAAGATATTTTTTCTGTCGCCTACAGAATAACTTGGATGATACGATTGAAAACATTTTTTTTTCTTCTTTTCTTTTTCTCAGTGCACTTGTATGAAAGTTGTCTATAAATTTGTTCGAATCGTTTTTTTATTGTATATAGGTCATGAGAGGTTTGGTAAGTTATAGCAATTCCAGATCATGATGACCTCAAAAATTTTCTGCAGGAGTTTTACGAAAATTACAGGAAATAATGAGATACTATTCACTCAATAACACTGTGAAGAAGTTATGAATATTTTATATATCTGACAGATTTCGAGAAATTTACAATGTCATAAGCAGTTCTGCTGAATTAATCAGGAATAGACCAAAATCTGTGGATATTCGGAATAAAAACGAATCAATATTCCTCATTCACCTAATGGAACTGGAGAGGAAGAAACAACGTGAATACATATCATCAAGAATTTATTGATATACAACTATGTTTACGTAAACTATAAAACATGGAATGTATGAAATTACCAATCTCATTTTAACTGATTTCTGAAAGTGTTATAAATGAAAACTTTTATTTGGACCCAAGTTTTGTCTGCGAACATATCCACATATTCTTTCCTCAATTGTAGACACTCTTCCTTCTTAGGAGTTATCTTTTTCGCAATATGTTTTCTGAAAAACTCCTTCATTATTGATTTTTGTTTGTTGCTCCATGATCCACGTTGCTTCGTCTTTTTTTTGTTGTCCTTTTTTATCGTTTCCTTCTTTATCCTCGTACAATCATTTCCTATAGTATAAAATTATATTCATAATATGAAATTCTCGAGAAGATGATAAGTCTACCTTTATTGGATTCAGAGCCTGATAGATTCTCTACATCTTCCAAGCATTCAGGTGTCGGAGGTTTCTCCGCGTTATCTGATTCTGAAAAGAAACGTTCATAATTTAGTTCAGTAAAACCACATATTCATTTTCTGAAGTTTAAGTAGGTTGTCTCTTCTCGTTTCTAGAAGATGAAACAAAATCAACAAAAATTCTATCAGTATGAGACAAATCAGGTGATTTGTCCCGAAAATGTCACTTCACTGAACAATTCAATTTTCAGGAGAGCCTGAAAGAGGAAATTTCATATCTGTCAGTGACAGTGTTGGAAAAATATTAAATATGTGGTGATTCCACAAAAATCACAAAAATCGTTATCACAATTTTACCAGTAGTTTCCACATAATCGTAAAACATGTGTACAAGAATATTTTTTCACGCCGTTCATCTCTGAATACGGATGCAATTACAAAAATTTGTTTACTGAGCAAACCCAACTCATTTTGAATGTGCTACCTATCCAAACAAATATGATGGAATAGTATAAATGACTCGAATTGAAAAAAAAATCAGCCTGAACCGGGACTGGAATATTGATAAGTGATAATTGCATTTTTGATAAATTGGTTGGAATTTTCGAGGAGCATAACATATATGTAAGAAGAAGTATTTTTCTGTTCGGAAACTTTGATTGGATAACGCTCTGGGTATACCTGAATCACTCTCTATTTTTGCACAGTCCTCTCCATCTAAACTGTCTAGATGAATATCAATTTCTTCTAGAGTCCTTCCTTTGAAATTAGCCCCTTCTCCTTTATCCATCATCAACAATAGTTTCGCTATTTTCGCTGTTTGGAAGACATCTTGTGGAAGCCTGTATATGCATAATAAAATTGATTCGGTGCATGCTTGATTGCACTGTTTTTGAAAATAAAAGGATGTCAATCAATATAGGCAAGTGAAAAGAAACAGTTATGCCAAATAACTGTTTCCAAATTTAACGAATTCTTCTCTGAGCTTCAGAATAAGTTATTTGTGATCTAATATAGAATATTTAGACGTATAACCTCACCTGTAAAACTCTTCATGGGTTTTTTTTGTGTGTCCCATGAAAGAGGCAACCTGCTCTTTTTCCGTTTCATTCAAATTTATTACTTGTAGAACTGTAGCAATCTGTTTCCTTAGACGTGAGGATGTTAATGTTTTTGGATTTTCAGCACCACATAATACAGAATATTTACGAAGAACTGATGATCCATCCATCCACTTGTCTTTACTTCCAATCAAAGCGAAGAGAAATGGATTTTCATTGGGAACTAATTGATTTTGTTCTCTGCTAGATAGAAGAACTTCAATGTATGTCTGTACATTTTTAGGAAACAAAATCGGAATAGATTTGCTGCCCTTTCCAATGGATACAATTCTTTTGAAATGCGCCGATAACAATTTTTCTGACTCCGATAAAACATTGATGCATTCTTCTTGATTTCTGCTGTTTGTACATTCCTTGTAGGAATCGAGTGTAATATATTGCACATCACCAACCCTTTTTCGATTCAATAGAACAGTCAATACCAGAATAGTCTCCGTTAATGTTTTGAATGATTTCAAATCATTAGCATTTTCTTTCAATAAATCAATGCTCTGTTCGGCTGTACTGACAACGTATTCTCTGAATTTAATGACATCACTTGTTATAGGTAGCGTCTGGGGTTTTTTTCCGTGTTTTTCATTCAAGTCTTTCAATGCCAAACTGCTCATATCGAATTTCCATCTTTCATCTACTAGTAACCGAAAGTTTTTCACATTCTTCAGCGCTTCTGTGTAATCAGTCACTGGTAGAACAGGATCTTGCTTCAATAAAAGAGTTTTTGCTGCTAAACATGCAAACAATAGAATTGTCTTCATGTGCATTGCTAAAGAAGGCGATTGAAAGGTTTTCGCCGTCTCATCATAGCCAGAAATTATTTGGGCTGCATGGACAACTTTATCGTAATGTTTCGTGTTCATTACTTCCAACAATGTATTGAAACCATAAATATCCTGGAGGGGAATGAGGAGCCTGCCGAGTTCCCGAATTTTATTAGACACTGCATTTCTAATATGAGGTCTTCTGTGTTTACGTAAATAGTCTTCAGCATACTGACAAACAACAGGGTCATTTTTTCCTTTGAACGAAGCTCTGTCCGCATGCATCTTTGGAAATACTTCATTCTTCAATCTCAGTCTATCATAAAATGATCTTCGAGAAGCTTTGAAAACCAGAAGATTTTGTCCTAGACTCGCAACGTTACATTTTTCGCCATCATTCGGATGGCATGAACAGATTTTTGTGTGCTTTCGTAGAGTTTTCAAACGATATATACCCTTGCAATAAGGACATGGCATAAACTGAATTGCTTCTCCACTACTTTCTTTGCCTCCTTCATATTTTCGTGTTTCTCTTTGAACGGGTCTGATTTTGTTCTCATCTAGTAATGATAAGTTTCCTTCTTTCCGTACAATATCAATCATCTGCTTCCTTTTCTTATTACCCTTCGGAAGCTGCATGATTTTACATACATAATCTTCATTGGCGTGGTTCCTGAATAGGTGCCTCGAGAAATTTGTACAATCCCGATCACAATAAATACATCTGTCTTTCTTATCCCATATTCTACTTTTACGTTGACTAACATCAACCAGTTTCTCTGAATCACCTATTACTCCAACATTCTACAAGTTGAAAACATCATTAATTAGTGGAAATAAGTATGGAATAACACTGAATATAGCCCATTTCAAACTTTTGACTACACGATTTTGACTTGTCCAGTTAGAAAAAAAAATTGCCAGGCAGTCAAACAACTTAGATAATTGACAAGAGACAGAAATTGTTGTAAGGAATACTGCAGAATGGTGGAGAATCGAGTGTAATAACTGCTTACAAATTATACTACAGTGTGGATACTTCAACTGGAATAAACTGGTTAGCGGGGAGGTGGACATCTTTTCTAGAAATTTCCGATATACGTCAAGGATTTAAAGTATTTACCTACCTTTTGCAAACAATATCGGGAATATATTCCTACAGGGGTAGCTGAAACCACCCTCAACATGATTTCTTCAAATGTAACCCTATGGCTTGTGACCCCTCATTGGAAAGCTGGTGAAAAGAGGAATCCAGCGTACCAGTCAAATTTCATTTTTTCATACGTTCAAAGATTGCATAAAATTGAAGTGAAATTTTGAAATTCCTATTTTTTTCAACGTCTCAATAGCTCAAAATGTGTGTTGAACAATTGATGGCATTTTTTTGCTACGACTGCTATATTCCAGTTTTTAAATGAGCCGCGAAAAGAAATTCAGTTTTTTTGCTATATTCACAGTTTGAAAAGAAGTGTTATTGCAAACTGGTGGAAATATCATATCACTGTCACTAAAAGTCGAAATTTTGATGAAAATACGTTGGAAATATATAAAACTTTGAAATTATATCTTGATTTCTTGCTACCCTCAAACGTACTGCAAACTGAAATATAATCAGTACCCAGGATCCCTCTTTCAACCAGCTTTCAAATGAGGGGTCGCAAGCCCTATGGTGGCATTTGAAAAAAACATGTTGGGGTTGATTCCAGCTACCCCTGATGGGTTATATTCCCCATATTGCTCGCCAAATGTAGCTAAATACATTCAAACGTTGACGTGTCTCGCGAAAAATCATTCACTCTCCCAGTAGCGAATTTATTCCAGTTGAAGTCTCCACCCTGTATAATCAACAGAGACGCCGCCACGTTTGTTAATGGCAGTTTCAAATGGGCCACCAAATGAACTTGGCATAATATTGAGAATAATGATGATTCTTCATTCAAGACCAATACATAATGTACAGGGTGATTCATCATAAATGTCCCCCCACCTCCTCTAGCTCAGTTATTTTCGAACCGATTTATAAATTTGAAGAATCATCTGAAATGATTTTCAATAAAGTTTTTTTCAGTTACATACAGAAAATACAGGGTGCTCGGAACGAACGATCTACAGGGTACAATTTTGATTTTTTTTAAATAGAACACCCTGTTTTTCATTTTATTTTTAGATTCTTCCTGGAGAGCAGATTTAGAGATATAGGGTGATCAAAATCGACATTTTTCAACTTCAGGATTTTCTTGTGACGAAACTATTCATTATCGGTCGAGACGGCTTCCATGTCCGTATCTAAACTTTTGATTTACTATCTACTGATTTTCAATGATTGGCACAGATACAGGGTGATCAGAATTCTGAATCTTGAACCAACCTGATTTGTTGCAATTAAATGTCAGTAGATAGTTGATCCAAGAGTTGAGATGGGGACATGAAAGCCGTTCTGATCAATAATAAATAGTTTTGACACAAAAGAATACTAAATCTCGATTTAGATCACCCTCTATCTCTGTAATCATTACCGCTAGACCCCCAAGTGTGATATATTGATGGAATCAGTTCTTCAGGAAAAATCTGAAAATACAATGAAATACAGGGTGTCCCATTCAAAAGAGTCCAGTAGTACTCTGTAGATCGTTTGTTCGGAGCATCCTGTATTTCCTGATTTCAGATGATTTTTTAAATTTTGAAATCGGTTCAAAAATAAGTGAGCTAGAGAGGGGGACATTTATGATGAATCACCCTGTACAAAATATAATTGTAGTTTTTCCAGTATAATGCTATATGTATACGAATAATCCACTCAGGAAATAATGACGAGGGATAAATAGTCATTATTTCCTCGTGCACACCAATCACAAAATTCCACCTCCATTAAGCTAGCCGAACCACTTTGAATTTTTCAATTTTTTCTTCGGTCATAATTTTAGGCTAATTTAAGGCTAATTTATTACCCTATTGCCGAATTTATTGCTCTTCGATTTATGTAAGAAAACGTGGGTTCTGCTAGCTTAACGTTAAGCTAGCAGAACCACTTCGTAAATTAAAGTTCAATAACAAAACTGAATATACCATAATTTGAGGCTAATTTGAGGCTCCAATCCTAGCCTATTGCCAATTTTTTCGCACATTGTTTTTTTGAAAAAATCATGGGTTTTGCTAGCTTAACCGTTAAGCTAGCAGAACCAAATCTCAAATAGAAGGAATATAGAAATATTGAGTACACCATAATTTAAGGCTAATTTCAGGCTCTTCGTTGAACCTATTATCGATTTTTTTGAAAATCATTTTCTGCAAAAAATTTCCCAAATCCAACATGAACATGACAAACCAGTAGCAAACCAAAGAAAACTTCAATCACAAACCTGATTGTGCCATAATTTCAGACTAATTTGAGGCTCTGATCCTAGCCTATTGCCAATTTTTTCGCACACTGATTTAAAAAAAATCATGGGTTTCGCTAGCTTAACCGTTAAGCTAACATGTGAACATGACAAACCAATAGCAAACCAAACAAAGTTCAATCACAAAACTAATCATGCCATAATTTAGGGCTGATTTTAGGCTCTGATCCTAGCCTATTGCCAGTTTTTTCGCACACTGTTTTTTTAAAAAAATCATGGGTTTTGCTAGCTTAACCGTTAAGCTAGCAGAACCAAATCTCAAATAGAAGGAATATAAGAATATTGAGTGCACCATAATTCAAGGCTAATTTTAGGCTCTTCGTTGAACCTATTATCGATTTTTTGGAAAATCATTTTCTTCAAAAAATTTACCAAATCCAACATGAACATGACAAACCAATAGCAGTCCAAAAAAACTTCAATCACAAACCTAATTATGCCATAATTTCAGGCTAATTTGAGGCTCTGATCCTAGCCTAGTGCGAATTTTTTCGCACACTGTTTTTTTAAAAAAATCATGGGTTTTGCTAGCTTAACCGTTAAGCTAGCATAACCAAATCTCAAATAGAAGGAATATAGAAATATTGAGTACACCATAATTTAAGGCTAATTTTAGGCTCTTCGTTGAACCTATTATCGATTTTTTTGAAAATCATTTTCTGCAAAAAAATTCCCAAATCCAACATGAACATGACAATACATCAGCAAATCAAAAAAAGTTCGATCACGAAACACATTATAGGTACCGAAATTTAGGTACATACATTTTCATTACAATTATATTCTATTCAATGGAAGTTACTAACCACAATTACAAATTTCAGTGCTCTTATGTATAGGAATGTAAAATGTTGGTAAAAAATCTCGTAAAAAATACAAGTTTATGAATACGAATACATCATATATTTTTGCCTTTAACTGTTCACCAAAATGAGAGACCACTAGTGTGAATACTCAATGATAAAATTAATAAAATATAATGCGGAACTGCGTTCGGCTTCAACGTCTCGGAAAGACGGGGAATCACGGAAAGACGGGGAATTACCGCAGCATAATTCGCTGTTGCCGGTGAAGCGCCAGCGTGGCCATATTTTTATACTGATCAATAAAATTTTAGAAAAAAAAATGTCGATACATTATATATATCAGGATAAATATCGTCACATAAATATCATGATATTTATCAAGATCTATATCCGGATATTTATCACTGACCTATATATCCTACTAACCTTGGTTTTTTCATCTAAAGAAATTGCATCAAGACTATAAGAGTATCAAGACGTTCTTAAACAAAACACTCATTCTTAATGCTTATCCGCAGTCATTTGCAAAAAACAAGCTTTTTTAAACAGGGTAACAATAATGGAAAATTCTACGAATATTTTCAACATAATATCTTGCATACCTAATATCTTGAATCATGAGCGTATTTCTCACAGAATTGACTGAGCCATCATTATATCCGAGATTATATCATCATAAAAAAATCAACTACATTCTTTTCACTAAACAATTTCATAGATGCGCGTAAAGTAGGAAGACGATGATGGAAACCTACTTCCAGTTTTTTTGCATTTTTTCCATATATAGCCACTACGATGTATCATGCAATGTGATGCATATTATTATGTAAGATGCAGAAATATTCGAGGAAATATTTCATCACATGGCGATTCGGAAATATTCAGAAAATATTTGTCATGTTCATGTGGCAATTGAAAATTTTTTTGCAGGAAATAATTAACAAAAAAATCGATAATAGGTTCAATGAAGAGCCTTAAATTAGCCTTAAATTATGGTGCACTCGATATTCTTATATTCCTTCTATTTGAGATTTGGTTTTGCTAGCTTAACCGTTAAGCTAGCATTTTTCGAAAAAACAGTGTGCGAAAAATTCGCAATAGGCTAGGATCAGAGCCTTGAATTAGCCTGAAATTATGGCATAATTAGGTTTGCGATTGAAGTTTTTTTGGTTTGCTATTGGTTTGTCATGTTCATGTTGGATTTGGGAATTTTTTGCAGAAAATGATTTTTCAAAAAATCGATAATAGGTTCAACGAAGAGCCTAAAATTAGCCTTAAATTATGGTGCACTCAATATTCTCATATTCCTTCTATTTGAGATTTGGTTCTGCTAGATTAACGGTTAAGCTAGCAAAACCCATGATTGTTTTAAAAAACAATGTGCGAAAAAATTGGCAATAGGCTAGGATCAGAGCCTTGAATCAGTCTGAAATTATGGCACAATCAGGTTTGTGATTGAAGGTTTTTTTGGTTTGCTACTGGTTTGTCATGTTCATGTTGGATTTGTGGAATTTTTTGCAGAAAATGATTTTAAAAAAAATCGATAATAGGTTTAACGAAGAGCCTAAAATTAGCCTTGAATTATGGTGTACTCAATATTTTTATATTCCTTCTATTCGAGATTTGGTTCTGCTAGCTTAACGGTTAAGCTAGCAAAACCCATGATTTTTTTTAAAAAACAATGTGCGAAAAAATTGGCAATAGGCTAGGATTGGAGCCTAAAATTAGCCTTAAATTATGACATAATTAGTTTTGTGATTGAACTTTTATTTACGAAGTGGTTCTGCTAGCTTAAAACCCACGTTTTTTTACATAAATCGAAGAGCAATAAATTCGGCAATAGGGTATTAAATTAGCCTTGAATTAGCCTAAAATTATGGCCGAAGGAAAAATTGAAAAATTCAAAGTGGTTCTGCTAGCTTAATGGAGGTCAAAATTCCCCAAATTGAATACCTTTGAAACAATATGATACAAACTCGACTGCGTCAAACGCGTAGTATTTGTGTTTTTGTATTGAGATGGTAGAATATTCCACTTGTACACCTCTAAAAATTGTGATTAGTCGTGAATAGAGTATACTACTCGCAATAATGATTATTATTCTCTCGGAAAGTTACTCCCTCGCCGCTAACGCGGCTCGGTTCGTGAATATTCCTCGTGAATAATAACTATCATTATTAACTCTTGGTACAATCTACTATTATTCATATTGATATAATTGAAGTATCAGATTAGTTTCGATATTCGTAATTTTTCTCACCTAAATATTTATTCGTTTCTTTTCTGGCTGGATTGTTCGTTCCATTTCCAAGGTTGGATCTAACTGAAATCGAATTATATTGTATTCAGAACTGCTTGTGATATGTTCCTCTAATTGGAACAGGTAATATCACTTACGATAATATTTTGTAAAATCGTCAATTTAGGTCTGATATCTTGACTGATTTCATTGCTGAGAGGTGCTGGGGTTTGCTCTTCGCGACCGAAAGTCATATTAGTGTTTTCGATATCATTTGTAATCTGTTGCAAGTGATCTTCATCCTAAAATCAATCAATAAGAGAATGATAATATTCTTTTCGAGCTGAACGACTTCTGAACATGAAACTGTTGAAGTCGAAACTGATTTCAATAAATATGTTGTGTGAACCAACAAGAGACAACTTTTAAAAAAATTGATTGATTCAATTGCTTTCAGAGGAAAATGATAGTTTCTCTATATGCATTGAGAAGTTAATCTGTTTATTATCAATGATTAAAAATGTGTTCGGACTAAAATAACTATCAAGTATCAAAACTGAGAATATTGCATGGAAATCTTGTGAATCGTATACGTACAAACCAACCAAACATGTGAGAATCGAATAATACCAATTATGAATGGAATCAGGCAATGACAACAAAACTCATTATCTTGAAGCTTTCATTTCAATTCACATGTTTCAACAAAATAAATTGGCAATCAAACCAATTTTGATTAAAACCGAACCATAATTACCTACAGACAGTACATTATCACAAAACTCGTCCACCCGTTCTTATTCATCCTAGTTTATAATCTCCGACTCCAGAAACCCTATATACTCATTTTCAATAGAATCGGACAATAATCACTAAACCTCTCCGCAATATTCGGGCCGCCATTTTCAATTCATGAATTGTGACAAGAGATTCATAATCTGCAACATCTTACATCCCCACATACAAATTTTGAATCGAATTTGACCATAATCACAAAACACCTCCGCCATCTTGTTGCCGCCATTTTCAGTGAATGAATTTCGGAAAAAAGAATCATTATCTCCGATCCCAAAAACTACTATTTCAATTTTTAATCAAATGGGGCCATAATCACAAAGCTCGTCTGTCATTTAGAGACGCGATCTTTAATTGATGAACTTCAACAAAAAATTCATAACCTCCATGCAATTTCATAATCTCCGGCCCCAAAAACCCCTGTATACTTATGTTTAACAGAATCGGACAATGATCGCCATACTTGTCCACCATCTTGCATTTATAAATTTTGACGAAAGATTCATACTATCCAAGATCTAAAATTTCTGAATACAAATTTTGGAATCGAATTGGTCCATGATTACTAATCACGTCCGCCATCTTGGAGTCACAATTTCAAGGTATGAATTTTGAAAAAAAAAACATTATCTTCAACTTCGAAATCCTGCGTATATACTGCTTTTCAATCGAATCAGACCATAATCAGAAATCTATAGTCATCCATTATGGGACGACATCTCGAATTCATGAATTTTAACAAAAAATACAGAATCTTCAACCAAGTTCATAATGTCCGACCCCAAAAACCACATATACTCATATCCGATAGAATCAAATCATAATCACCAAATCCGTCCGCCATCTTGGAGTCGCTATCTTGAATTCATGAATTTTGACCAAAGATTCATGATCTTCAACCTCTAAAATTACTGCATACATAAATTTTGAATCGAATATTAGACCATAATTAAAAATCACGTCCGCCATTTTGAAGCTGCAATTTTCAGTGTATGAATTCTGAAACAAATTATCATATTTGACCCCCAAGGACCCATTGAATTGAAACAAAATCAAAAATCTCTTCTGCTTTCATGGAACGCCATCCTGAATTTATGAATTCCAACAAGTGAATCATAATATTCGTCCAAGTTCATATAATATCCAACCTCATTGACCCATATATACTAATTTTCGAAAGAATCGGACGATAATTACAAAACTGGTTCAACATCATTGGAGTCATCTTGAAGTCTTACATTTTGTCAAAAAATGTTAGGACTTCTGATCTCAAAATCTCACTCATTCCAATTTCGAAAAGAATCTGAATTGGTATTTAATTACAAACTTCTACAACCACCTTTGGGTTGTCATCTTGAATTCATGATTTTTGACCAACAATTAACCATCTTCGATCGAATTCAAAAACTCCGACCACAAGAACTCATACATACTTTTTCAATAGAATACAAATCTTGTTCTCCAACTCGTAGCCATCTTGAAATCCATAGTGTTGACATACGTTTCATAATATTCGTCTCCAAGAACACCTATGAAACAATTTTGAATACAATCGGACCATAATAACAAAACTCCTCCGGATACGTTTTAATTTTTTCTTTGTTTTCTAACGAATGCACTCACCGAATAAATGAATCTCTGCCAAATTCTAGCTCAATCAGATGGCAGCAAGTGCTTGAAAATGGCTTAAAAATGTTCAACCAGAAAGACAAAAGATAGACATACAGGGTGTTTCATAATTGAATGCTGATCCTAAAGGGCAATAATCCTTGGATGATTTTAGGCAAAATTCTTTATGTGAACATAGGTCCGTAGCAGCTTCGTTTCTGAGATACAGGATGTTGAAATTTAACAGAAAAATCAGTTATTCCCCAATATCTCTGAAACCGTTCTGGCTTTTTCCTTCAATTTTTTGGCATGCCAAGTATGAATAGGAATACATTTTTTCCATAATGAAGGATTTCTTAATTCCCATCAGTGGCGTCCCTGTTAACATACCCTGTCATATTTTTTATCAGAATAATGATACGCCACTGTCTTTTTTCCAAATAAATATTATTTTTGTAATTATCCTCTATCTTCTCATAAAAATGGTCTCTTGTCTTTTTTTCGTCCGGCAAACGGTTTTTGAGTTAGAAAATAAAATGCATTCATTTGCTTGTCCCTATTCGATTTTTACTCTCAGTCATAATTTCACAATTGTGGTAACCAAAAGATCTAAGCGAATTTTTATGATTTTATGGTAACTATTTTTAAGTTACGGACCTATGTTCACATGAAGAATTTTTCTTAAAATCATCCAAGGATTATCGCCCTTTAGGATCAACATTCAATTATGAAACACCCTGTGTAGGTACGGAGGAAACTAGGTAGTTAAAAAAATTTGAAACAAAACATTCGACCCTAAAACGTTAGATACCAATTCTTGATAGAATCGGATTTATAAATCACCGAACTCGTCCGCCTCATTGGAATGATATCTTGAATTTTTCATTGAAAAATATTCAAAAGCGCACAATCAGGTACCTTTATAAGTATGCTAACTTCCGAATTGGAATGAATTAAAAAAAACGTGATTCAATATTGGCCATAACAAACGTTATATTCGAGTCGAATAACGACGAATTAAACCAACTTATGATCAAAATACTGTAATCACCGGCTTATGTAGTGACATGCCCTATTTTGATCCGAATCTCTACAATTTCATGTTTCCGTCTGGGATTCCCCCAATACATATAATGCAAGTTAATAGAAACGCTGAAAATAAATATCGCGTTACCTGATATTGCAACGCTTCTTGAATTTGGATTTCTTGTGATATATCTGACAAGGAATGACTTGTTGAATTGGACTCTTCTTCATCTGGAATCCAAGATGTCTAGAACATACAGATAATTCATTTTTTTATCTATAACTGGAAACACAAAAGTGGAGAAACTTACTGATGAATCAATGAATTCCGTTAATGGAATAAATTGTTTTTCAGTGTGGTTCGATTCGACTTTTTCGTTCATATTTTGCTTTTGTTTCCATTTATTGAATTCGTCCCAAACATCTTCTTCTTCTAGTCCTTCGATTACGCACTCCTCAGAAAAGGCATTCTCGTTTTCAGTGGTATGAAAATGCTTTTTATCCATTATACATGATTCCACTAGAATCAGTGTAAGAAAAATGACAGTCGCATAAAAATGTGAATGCAGAATAGAATGAATAATTATTTTTCAACTTACCCCCTTTTCCACTAGTATGCACTACTTCCTTTTTCAGAGCCAATTCCACCAGCCTTTTACTACGAGCACCAAATTTTTTCTTAGAATTAATAAGTTGCTCACTCATCCTGGGTCCGAACGAAACTAAGAACTAACAAGTCGAAAAAAATGCGCGTGAGGGACGAAAAGGCGGTTAGTCAATTCTTAATTTATATTACTATTGGCAACAGCGCAGGATCTCACCTTAATCAGTAAACGTCAGTATATACATGGCAGGATCTTAACTTACTTGTATCATTCCATAGATCTCGCCTAGGTTTCATTTCATCATAAAATATATTTTGTGAAAATGCTACCCCTCTGTGGTGTTTAACATCAAAACGCTAATTTCTTTATAATGTATGAAAAATATATTCGAGAATTCGTATTGGTTAGGGTGGATCTCAGGTTGTCCAAGATTTATCCGGATCTCGAGTTGGTTTAAAAACGTATATATATATATATATATATATATATATATATATACAGGGTGTCCTTAAAAGGTCTTTACAAAAAGCTACCACATATTCTTCAGACCAAAACAATTCGATACAAGCAAACTTACCTCAGTAAAAAGTTGCTTAGTTTGGGCGCTAGACGGCTCTGAAGTTGAAATTTTCAAATCGATTTCGCTTCATAACTTTTGAACGGCTCATGAGATTTTTTTCAAATTTGGTACGTTGGCATAGACTCATCGGGCAATGAAACTCATATCATAATCATAATGAATATCATTCCATGGGCGTAGAACTTGATTTTTTCAGGAAATAAACATCTAAAACTCCTACGCCAATGGAAAAAAATTAGTTTCAATATGAAATCTAAATTATTCAACTCATTCACTACAAAAAAGGTACTCTTGACAAAAGTCGATTCCTCTCATGGTTTCGACAAAATTTTAATTTCAGTGATTTAGAGCATAATTAATGATAAAACGATTAACAGATATTTCATAAAAATTGTTCAAAATGTTCACCATTTTCACGTATACAAAGATTTATACGACGCAAAAAGTTGAAATGTACTCTTTGCATAACTTCTTCATCGCCTGTAAGATTATTCGTCGCCTGTTGGATACGTTGCCATAATTGTTCTACAGTATTCACAGGGGTCTTGTAAACCGTAGACTTGAGATAACCCCATACAAAATAATCCATCGGTGTTAAGTCTGGAGAACGTGGTGGCCAATTCACGGGTGCATCATTACCTCTACCTATCCATCTGTCTGGGTACTGTTGGTTTAAAAAATTCCTAACATTCACCGAAAAATGTGGTGGAGCTCCATCGTGCATAAACCACATATCTACCCGATGTTGGAGTGGCAACGTATTTCGTAGATGTTGTAAATACATGTCTCCTGTTAATCTTTGTGGAAGTATGACAGGACCCATTATAAAATTTCTTATTATTCCAGCCCAAACGTTGATTTTGAATTCGTGTTGAAAATGGTTTATTTTAATGGAATGAGGATTTTCAATTGCATAAACGTGTTCATTATGAAAATTAGTTATTCCTCTTCTCGTGAAACAGGCTTCATCAGTGAACAAAATATTCTTTCCAAAGTTCAGATTCATTTCTCTTTGCAAATTAATGAACCTACAAAACATCAGACGACTTTGTGAATCATGGATTAATAAATCTTGAACTGGCGTCTTGTGGTATGGGTATAATAATTGTTCTCTTAGTACTTCATGAACGGCATTCCTAGAAACTTCTAGTTCATTACTTATCCGTCTAGTACTCAATTCTGGATTTTCTTCAATACGGTCTAAAATTTCTACTTCGACTTCGGGAATCCTTACATAACGCTGTCTTCCATAATCACCAGTTCTAGGAGCAAAATGACCGGTCTCCCGAAGACGTCTCTCAACTGCAGCAAAGGTTGGGTGGCTTGGTACGCGACGATTCGGAAACCTTGCCGAATACACCCTCACACTCTCTCGACCATTTCCTTGACAATATCCGAATACCAATAACATATCGGTGTATTCTTCATTGGTGTATTGTACGGCCATGATAAATCAGAAAAGTCCGATATCAACAATCAACGTCAATAAAACTCGACAAATCAACACAGATGAAACTATGGAAACCAAGAATGTGAATATCACTGTTTTCGAGCAGATAATAATAGTCTTCAGAAAAAAAAAACCAGTGCTACTTATTTTCAATAGAAATAACCTATGCAAAAAGTACATCTCAACTTTTTGCGTTGTATAAATCTTTGTATACGTGAAAATGGTGAACATTTTGAACAATTTTTATGAAATATCTGTTAATCGTTTTATTATTGATTATGCTCTTAATCACTGAAATTAAAATTTTGTCGAAACCATTCGACCATTTGTCAAGAGTACCTTTTTTGTAGTGAATGAGTTGAACTATCTAGATTTCATATTCAAACTAACTTTTTCCATTGGCGTAGGAGTTTTAGATGTTTATTTACTGAAAAAAGCAAGTTCTACGCCCATGGAATGATATTCATTATGATTAGGATTTCAAATTTTTGCGTCGTATAAATCTTTGTTCACGCGAAAATAGTGAACATTTTGGAAAACTTTCATGCAATATCTATCAATCGTTTTATTATTTAAATATGCGCGAAATCACTAAAACTTAAATATTGTCGAAACCATCAGAGTAATCGAATTTCATCAAGAGTACCTTTTTTGTAGTGAATGATTTGGGCTATCTAGATGTCATACTGAAACTGATTTTTTTTCATTGGCGTAGAAGTTTTAGATGTTTATTTCCTGAAAAAATCAAGTTCTACGCCCATGGAATGATATTCATTATGATTATGATATGAGTTTCATTGCCCGATGAGTCTATGCCAACGTACCAAATTTGAAAAAAATCTCATGAGCCGTTCCAAAGTTATGAAGCAAAATCGATTTGAAAATTTCAACTTCAGAGCCGTCTAGCGCCCAAACTAAGCAACTTTTTACTGAGGTAAGTTTGCTTGTATCGAATTGTTTTGGTCTGAAGAATATGTGGTAGCTTTTTGTAAAGACCTTTTAAGGACACCCTGTATATATTATATCAAGTTATCGAATATATATTAGTCTTGTCACTCCTGTCCTTGAATAAAACACGAGATGAAACATAATAGAAGGAAGCCATGATATTATAGTTCATTATTGACTTTTTCGAGCAACCAGCTTGTCCAAACATTTCTTATACTTCAAAACAAAATATCATGTTTATGTTGAAGACTTGGCAATAATGTGCTGAATGCTGAGGACTGATAAGGCACCGCCCACACTTCGTGCGCCGTGTTGTCACGTTCACCGGTTCAAATGTCCTCTAATGTAAATTATAATAATTTTTATTTTCACAAATGTATTATAAGCAATAAGCCACTACACATGAGGGAACATTTTGAGACAATTAATTGATTTTTTATTGATAATGATATAGGAATATTACCAATACATAATTGAGCATTCATGAATTATTGAATAACTTATATTTCTGAAGTTCTCAGTCATAATTCAACATAATGGCATCTGTGCTATGGTCTGCTCACATTCACAAAATCCTGATACTAGAGTTAATTAGAATCTGGAAAATGAAACAACGAATATTTGGAGCAGTGATTGTGGTGATTGGATATACTTCTCTGAGATCGAGAGAATAAATTTCAGCAGGAAATAAACATATGAAACCTGTCTCACTTGAGAGAATCATAAACTTGTGAACCTCACCATAAAAATGTCTTCTAAATGTCTTCTGGTTTCAAAAAGTTTCGTTTTTTCGTCAATCTAATATGATTTTTCAACAACTGTCAAGAGTCATTCCACGTCATTCCTTGCAGTGAGACGAAATGAAAAGTAGCAACCGGAATCGAAAAAGTTGCTGATAAAACGAAACATTAAAGTGATTCTGGTGGCGGAATCTGATGAATTTAACGCAACTAATGTCTTCTACTTTCAAAAACTTTCGTTTTCCGTTAATCTTATTTCATTATTTGACAACTGTCAACAGTCATTCCACGTCATTCCTTGTAGTGAGACCACAGAACTCATAATATCTATATCTTACGACTAGAATGCGCAATCCTATGGTTTCATACAAAATTTAATTTTTAATAAAACATGGGCACTGAAACATGGGTCAAATTAAACTAATCGCAGACTTACGTGGATGTATGGTAATACAGGAGAAGAGAGAAACTACTGAGACGTAGGTCATGCATATTCATCGGTTTGTTCACAAACAACGAAATGTTGCCAGTTTTATCAGCTGCCACTTTTGACAACTTGTCATTGAATTTTTCTCCGACAAGTCAAAAATATTATCATTAGATCTATGGCACGTGATTATTGTGATAAAGTTATATGTTCAAGACTGCATAACTCCTTGTTGAACATGAGGGCGAAGGAAAAATTTCCATGAGTATACCTATCTACTTCTGATGCCTATCTGTACCTATATCACATGAAATTTAGTCGAGGTTTCTTTAATCCATTTACATGATCTTCAGACCTGGGATACAGTGAAACTTGTAATGGCAAATGGCAAATTCATCAGGTTAAGTTTTGAAACTTAACTCAAAACCGACGTTATATCTTGATTTCCGCTTTCATTTGAAGCTGTTGAAGACACCGTCCCAGAATTTCCATCTGAGGATGTATTAAAATTGTCTTCACATGATAAATAGTTCGTTCTTGATCCATCAGAGATTGATTCTAAAAGCTCTTCGAGAAGTTTTAATGAGATCAGTGTTAGGAAAAGGCCATTTGATTTGGGGTATAATTGTATGTTATTCTCTATGGAGTGATTTGTGGTACCTTCAATGAGATACCCTATATTTTTCAGCCCAATGGAATATTCCTCTGCAGGTTACAGTTCAATGAAAAAGTCTCTATTTGAAGTGGGAGAAGTCTTTGAAATGAACTCAGTGATTTGATACAGTGGATGCCATTGGGATACTTATTTAAACCATAAACTATGACAATAATAAAAAAAAAAAAAAAGTGTTTTTAACCGCCAGCTTAGTTGCAAAGCAACCCTCGAAAGTCAGAGAAATTTCCTAATTTTGAATATACAGTGCTGCAATTCGGAACACGTTTTCATGGTTTCCAACAATAATCAGCAGCAGTTGATCAGCTGGTGAAATTTGAATATCATTCTCATCGTCAAATATTTCAACAATAGGCATTTTCTGATATTGAATATGAAATGATCAATTTATTATTGATACGGCAAGACTCAATGTTTAAAAAATAAGAGAAATAAATGTGACATTCCTTCCTTCTCTGATATAATGACAGTTCACTGAAGCCACATTACCTTTTGATAGCCAGCAATTTCAGCAGAATAATGAGTCGAAATATGTAGAAAGAATAGTATGTCTGCTCACAAGTGTCTGTCACTTTCAGTGAATTTTTCTGATTTCGGAATGAAAAATCAGCAGATTCAGTACTGTCAGTTGATTTTGGAATATAGCCATAATCAGAGCGCACTCTGCTGATTCAGCCATGTTGTGTAAACGTTTTTTTTTTAACTCTCTTTGGAAAATTTTTTCGACTCATTTATTTCATGGTATTATGTGCACCATCACCAAAAGACAAATATCAAATTCAATTTTCAGGTTTGGAAAATGCGATACGTGACTTGAAAAAAGGGAAGGTTGTTTGCCCATATGAATGTAATATTCTTGTAAGGAAATGCTACAACTGGGAAAATATTTCTTTGCGGACTGAAATTGTTTATCAGAAAGTAGCACAAGAGAATACCAAAGAGTTGGCTGAACATTTGTACTGGTGAGTGTAAACAGAGAAAATTTCAGCATCAGAAAACTCACTTCTGATTGCTCTCATATGACACCCAAACCACTTACGAATTTGCATACCTACTCTGGGGCAATTTTAATAGCTATTTCTGAATTTTATTCTTCTAGCTCTATTGTTATTTTGATATTTGGAATCATCATAGAAATCCGCAGGTTTCATAGGTGAAACTGGCTTCTGTCGAATTGACTGAATTCTCAATTTTCTCATAGGCTTCTGACTGCTGCATAGAAATGTTATGATTTAAATAGCATTGCATCTGGAGATTTGTTAATTTTTTTCACTATAATACTTTGTTGTTGATATTACCAATTACATCCTGCACATAGTGATGTAACAGGAAGATGGATTGATGTTGAATCAATTTTCAACGGAAATTGACCAGAAACGCTTATGAACTACATTTATATTTTATATTGATCATTTCATGTATTTATAGTATTCGATACAATCATTCATATTCAAATTCATTACTTTTTCCCTGCAATTTAAATAATCTTTTACTAATTTTGACATGTAATGTGACACTTTTCAAAACTGACGGAAGTTTTGAAACGTCTTACTTTACGTAACCAGTTGCGTAAAGTAAAGTTTTACATAACTGGTGATGTAATGTTCATTTCATTCATTCATTTCACACAACAAGAGTCGACAGAACTCATGTAAAACTGGTCATTATTTTTGTTCATGCGAAATGTTTCGTCAAAATTAGAAAAATTATTGTACGTGACACGTTAGGAAACGCCATTTTGTGTAACTCTGTGATGTTGCGGGATCTCGCTTCGCTCGTCCCGCAAAATCCCATCGTTACACAAAACAACGCGTTTCCTAACTGATTACGTAAATATCTATTTAAAAACTAGCTTTCGATGACGTCAAATGCCGATAAAAATATATCCATTTCCAAATAAATATGTTCCTATGGTATTACGGAGAGACTCAACTGTCAAATACAGGATGACTCAGAAAAGTGTACCGAGCTTTCTGAATGTGATAGTACTTTGAAGAATAAGTATAGTTCAACAAATAAACGAATGGCCCAAAATTTATATAAAAGAGATATAGCCTTCCAAAATGATTAAATTAAAATACCAAATTGAAATTTCCTGCATAAATGAATGTTGAATTAATACATTTTTCGAATACACTTCTACATTTCTGCTATAGTTATACAGAGTGTGTTTAGAGAGTGAGTCATGATATTTTGAAGACAACTTTTTTCCTTGTATTCTTTTTGGTAAAGGAACAGAAGAATTTGATAAAGAAAAATATACTTCAAAATGGTACTCTTATCAACATTCAAAACATGTTAACGTTTTCGATATATTCGGGTTCTTGTATTGACGTGATATCAGCAGATGAATTCATCAGTAACAATTTTTTAGTAGGCTTCGAACTTCTTGCCATCATCTCTATTTTTTGTTTGGAAACATTCTTGTTGATGCAATCTTTGCACAATCCTCAAAATTGTTCTAGAATTTGAAACTTGTCAAGCTGGAAACATGCATAACGAATACCTGACCTGCCATTTCTCAGTTGAAAATCGCAGTAATAATATAAGGAGGCAAAAAAAACCATACGAGGAAGTTAACAATAACAATGTTGATGTCATAAACGGAAAAATTTAGAACAAAATTGGTCATGGCTCTAAGAATATTGTCACCGGATAATTATTCTACTGATATCATGTTACTCAAATATCTCGAAAACGGTTGAATTTTTCGTATTTTGATAGGAGTACGTTTTTCATGCAACTTTCTTCGTTTTATCAAATGCTTCTGTGATTTCACCGAAAACTATACAAGGAAAAAAGTCGTCTTCAAAAAATCTATACCCTCCCTCTAGAAACACCCTCTACTATAGCAGAAATGTAAAAGTGTATCAGAAAAATGTATTTTATCAACATACATATATGCAGGAAATTTCAATTTGGTCCTATTTACCAATTAGAAATTCTGCGGAAAAATTATTTTTGTTCGATCAACTTTGAAAGGATAAATCTCCCTTATTAAACATTTTGGGCCATTAGTTTATCCATCAAACGTTACTTATTTTTCAATGTTCTATCACCTCCAGAAAGCTCAGTACACATTTTTGACTCACCCTGTATATTTATAAATTTGTTGAATCATCAATACTGTGAGAGATTCCTGAACATAACTCTGTTTTATTCAAATTTGATACCTTTTTTTTAGTTACCTTTCTTCTGGTGTGTGGCCTTTTCTCCTAGTGGTTTCTTTAACTTTCATCATATTGAAGATTTACGAGTATTTGGTGCCTCGAAAATACATTGACATTGCACCTGATTACAACCAGAAGACTCCTAATAAAATAGATTAGAGAGTCTTGTAGTCTGATGATTACCACTGAAGTGTTCTTTCTCTGTATGTTGTGTCAGGTATTTATCATTCTTTTCTATACACTTGATTTTCATGATGTAATTGTTGATGGTTGACTGAGGAATACTAAAGGAGATGTAAACGTTTTCATGAGCATTGTTTCAGGCATCAGCATACTGTTTTGACCAATAACTGTATGGCACATCCATTCAATGAGAAAATACTGAAAATAGTATTATGAAACTACAGTAGATGCAAATCTCATGGAGTTATCCTAAGTTTTTATATTCATAATTTATTTATTTATTTTTCGCCTCCCTTTTATAATAGATAAACCAGGTATATTTTGAATGGTGGCTACTAGGAATCAGTTTTGTATTTTCTCCAAAATCTCAATTTTCATAATATGCTATGTTGGTCAATCTGCGATTGAAGGTCTATAAAAATATCAAGTTTCCCCTTGATTGGGTGAAAGTATTGAAAAGGAATATTCTCAGAAAAATTATTAACATAAAAAAATGGATATATGTATATCTATTAAGAAATACATTGAGAATTCGTATTCTGTATGTAATGAAAATATCAATTCTTTCTCGGTTTATTCAACAGAAAACAACTACTTTCCTAGCGTACGGAGCTCCTCATGTGTATAATAATTTAGATGACCATCTGGAGAGAATGTCAGTAAGTTCATTTAAGACAAATCTTGAAAAAATCCTTCTGCCAAATAATTGATCATCAATTTATGATAAAAAATCAAATAACTCAATGAATCTATTTGTCCTCTAACCGAACAGATTAACTCATGATAAATAGCTATATGTCATAATAAATATATGTCTCACATTTATCAAGAATTTTTTTCCGCTATTATTATTTCTTTGTTTTCAATACAAATTGTGGTTCTACTATTATTGTATGCTACATTGTTATCTATGTTCATCACATTAGTTGCTAGGTTAAAGTGTAGAAAAGTTAGAAAATGTTCCCAATAAATTTTCAAAATGCCGACCATTGGCTTCCAAACATTTCAAAATTATGAAATTATGTTGTAATTCTACAAACGTCTTTCTGATCATTGGTTGTAGATAAGGATACGTTTCCTTGCATTTTCTGCACGTTCTTGCTATAATTCTCTCACATTTTCCATGAAGAATAAACAATTTCATCAGAACTTAGTTTGAATAGTTATTTTTCTTCATTTCAATTCTTTTTGAGTAACTTCCATTGAGAAACACAAAGGTATTATTACTTATGCACTAATTGTCAAATTTTCATACTGCCATATGTACCATCATGACAATGAATAGCCACCTTAGATGGATATGAGAAAAAAAATTCGATGTTTTTAGGAAATTGCTCGAGATTCTGGCTATTTAGGTATAGGAACATCTCTCAGTATATTTCATAATATTCAAAAAAATGCACTTTCAACACTTTTTGTATCTAGCAGTAAGATCATGAATTTTGAACGACCCTGTATACGCAGAACAAACTTCTCTCTACAGAATCAATATACATTCTTGATTGACTAAACACAAAATTGCAACTTCCTAAGAATCCAAATACCGCAGAAATAAACATTCAATTCACCGTTAGAGATAAGTATCGGATAGTATGATGCAGAAATAATCAGTGTGATGATAAGTTCAAAAATGCGGTAAAATACAGGGTGTCCCATTCGAAATAACAAAGATGCTGCTACTTTCTGGTATAAGCGGCAACGCTACATTGCTGAAAATATTTTAGATCGAAAGATCAAGATTAATTACTTAAGTAACCAAATTTTCAGAATGATCTTATGTCCTGTTCTCCGTAAACGTCTAAGGTGCCATCGACCGTGACCCACCCTGTCTCCATTTTTTGATGTTAATAATTCATCTGAGAATATTCCTTTTCAACGCTAACAGTCATGTTTAAATTTTGCCAAAGATCGCACTACTGATGGGAACTTTTTTCATTTCCTTTTGCGTCTTCTTACAATAAAAGCAGGAAGTATAACCCTAAATGACACAAACCCTCAACTTACGATTTTTATTACAGTTGATTCATATTTTATGGACGCCGTTGACTACTTTTTGTTTTTTCTTTCATTTACCTAATATTTAAAATGATGGACATCATACCATGCAACACTGTCATAATTGATACTATCATCAAATTTTGTCTCATTTTTTAGACACATACTCACCTAATTTGATAAGTTTTTGTACCCAACTGTAATGTTGTGTTATCTTCATCATGAAACAAGAAATACATCATCATGAATTTGTTCATCCTGATTGCCATCAGTACCAACTGTTATTTTTCGTTTTGAATTATCAAAGGAAGGAAGGAGTCATCTCCACACAATTTTGAATTATACAGTATTTGATAAAAATATTCCATAAATCGAAACGATCAGTTAACTCTACATTTCAAATTGATTGAGAAACTTGAAGGGTACTCACAGAACACGCTAATGAATAAGCATTATATGAACATTGAAGATTTGCTTAATGAAATGATTAATAATTGCATAGTGCAATCACAGATAGTTATAATTATCTCCAATTTTAACTTTGATAAATGATTGATATTCAAGGTTCAGTAGTATCCATTTTGAATTTCAAACTATAATTCTCTTTTCTTTAATTCTCGTTTCTATTATTTTCCACTCGTCTTTAGAAGTTCCTATTTAGACTTATACTTGTTAACAAACTTGAGAATGGTGAGGATGATAAATACTGTAGTATTCAGTACTGATAATGGATGTCACTTGAATTGAATTGAAATCAACTAGTGCAATGAAAATTACCAATAATTTATGTACATATTCAGGCATTCATTTTGAACGAATTATATTTGATAAGCATAAAATCATATTTGAAGGAAATAATTTTCATGAAGATCTGAGGAATTTAATGACTAAAAATCCAACAACCTTGTACCTTATCGAAAGTTCCAGTGATTCTAGAAAAACTTTTGATCAATAATTATGTCAATTATTAATAATCAATAGACAAGGTCCACAAATACTATTTGCTGTTCGAAATCCCGAGTATAAAATTCAGTGATATTTTGCACTTTCCTAACTGTCCTAGTGGAATTTATCTCCTAAATTGAATTCAATTGATCATGAGCATCAATTAGATCATGGAAATGTATTGTAATAAATAGTGCCATATCTGAGTGAGATTTTCATCAAAATTGATTTCATTCTCAAATATTTTCATTGTTAAATATTAATTGTCAAGAAGGTATATTATATGTTATATTATATAATATACAGGGTGCGGCACCGAAAACGAAACAGATCGAATATCTTATAGACACATGTGTTGTGAAAAAAATGCAAAAACACGTCGATTTGTAAACCAAGGGGGACATCTTTCTACCATAACCTCAACTTTCATACCTCTCTCTCCTCCCCTTGGTCACTATCACCCATACAATTTAAATAGGGAAAGTACTAAGTGTGACACATCACTGAAAAGGTTATTTGATAAGGAATTCAGCCATGTGAGTGTTCGCTACGTAACTTTTTATTTTGGCGCCCTCTTGCGGAAAAAACAACTGTTCCGTATTCCAAAGTATGATACTTCATTTGAAAGCTACTTTGAACAATTCAGAAAAAAAGAATAAAAATTTAAAAAATGACAGTGTATGAACTTAAAAATTGGAAAGGCTTGCATACATTTTACTACAATCATTCCAAACTACAATAATTCACAATAGCTGCTCAAAGTGTTCTCCATTAACTGCCATACATGAGTATAAGTTAGTCTCGAAACGTTGTCTGACGTTTTGGAACATTTCTGGAGTTATTTGACGACATTCGTACCTTTGAATAAAAATTGACTTACTCTACGCATATGTTTTGGTACAATAAAAAACCTTTTGTTTCAGTGCTTAGTTGTGTCGGTTTATTGTCAGTAGTACTTCAGGTATATTAACGAGTAAAACATAAAAATGGTTTATAGTATTCAGGATAGAGTAGAAATAATTGAATATTATTTGAAAAATAATGAATGTGCCAACACAGCCAGTAGAATGTTCAATGAGCAACACCCAAACAAAAACGTTAATCGTAAATACGTTTTGGAGCTGATTTCAAAATTTCGACGAACGGGATCTGTGGCAAATAAAAAACGTCAAATTGAAAAGCCAGTAAGAAATGAAGCAGTAGAGGTAGCCGTTTTAGGACAGGTTGTTGCGGATCCAACTCTTAGTACACGAAAGCTTGCCGTACTATCTGGAGTAAGTCAACGTACCGTCGGGCGAATTTTGAAAGCTCACAGATTCCATCCCTATAAAATTAAACTGGTTCAGGAACTTAACGAAGACGATTTTGATCGTCGCTTACAATTTTGTGAAATCATGAGTGAACGTGCTATACGAGATCCAAATTTCCTTTTCAACATTTGTTTTTCGGATGAATGCAGTTTTTATCGCAACGGGACTGTCAATCGTCATAATTGTCGGTATTGGTCAGATTCCAATCCAAGAGTGTTTCATCAAGTACACACTCAACACCCAGAAAAGTTAAACGTTTGGGCTGGAATATTTGGCGATCGTGTTATTGGTCCATTTTTTTTACCAGGTAATTTGACTGGGGACATGTATTTGGAATTACTCGAAGATACCGTTGATCCAACGTTAACAGACATAATAGAAAACGATAACCGATACCTTGAAGATCACCTAATATTCCAACAGGACGGAGCTCCTCCACATTTTGCTGCAGCAGTTCGTCAGTATCTGAATGAAAGATTTCCTAGACACTGGATTGGAAGAAGAGGATTCATTGAATGGCCCCCCCGATCTCCCGATTCATCCCCCTTAGATTACTTTTTGTGGGGCCATTTAAAAAGTAAAATATACGCCACTCAGCCAGGTTCTTTAGACGAGTTACGTCATCGTATTATTACCGAATGTCGTCAAATAACTCCAGAAATGCTCCAAAACGTCAGACAACGTTTCGAGACTAACTTATACTCATGTATGGCAGTTAATGGAGAACACTTTGAGCAGCTATTGTGAATTATTGTAGTTTGGAATGATTGTAGTAAAATTTATGCAAGCCTTTCCAATTTTTAAGTTCATACACTATCATTTTTTAAATTTTTATTCTTTTTTTCTGAATTGTTCAAAGTAGCTTTCAAATGAAGTATCATACTTTGGAATACGGAACAGTTGTTTTTCCCGCAAGAGGGCGCCAAAATAAAAAGTTACGTAGCGAACACTCACATGGCTGAATTCCTTATCAAATAACCTTTTCAGTGATGTGTCACACTTAGTACTTTCCCTATTTAAATTGTATGGGTGATAGTGACCAAGGGGAGGAGAGAGAGGTATGACAGTTGAGGTTATGGTAGAAAGATGTCCCCCTTGGTTTACAAATCGACGTGTTTTTGCATTTTTTTCACAACACATGTGTCTATAAGATATTCGATCTGTTTCGTTTTCGGTGCCGCACCCTGTATGCCTGACATTGTGATAATAAATACATTTTTCAAATGTGAGGGAAGCTGTATGTTGTTGAAATAGTATTAAATATTCGTATTTATCAAAATTTGATAGTTGGTGTATTGATTCTAATGATTTAACTACTGGTATTTCCATAATCATAAAGACTTTATTCATCAATTTCAATGATAAATATAACAAATATTGTACATTAAAGTAACTTTTTATTTTGGCGCCCTCTTGCGGGAAAAACAACTGTTCCGTATTCCAAAGTATGATACTTCATTCGAAAGCTACTTTGAACATTTCAGAAAAAAAGAATAAAAATTTAAAAAATGACAGTGTATGAACTTAAAAATTGGAAAGGCTTGCATAAATTTTACTACAATCATTCCAAACTACAATAATTCACAATAGCTGCTCAAAGTGTTCTCCATTAACTGCCATACATGAGTATAAGTTAGTCTCGAAACGTTGTCTGACGTTTTGGAGCATTTCTGGAGTTATTTGACGACATTCGTACCTTTGAATAAAAATTGACTTACTCTACGCATATGTTTTGGTACAATAAAAAACCTTTTGTTTCAGTGCTTAGTTGTGTCGGTTTATTGTCAGTAGTACTTCAGGTATATTAACGAGTAAAACATAAAAATGGTTTATAGTATTCAGGATAGAGTAGAAATAATTGAATATTATTTGAAAAATAATGAATGTGCCAACACAGCCAGTAGAATGTTCAATGAGCAACACCCAAACAAAAACGTTAATCGTAAATACGTTTTGGAGCTGATTTCAAAATTTCGACGAACGGGATCTGTGGCAAATAAAAAACGTCAAATTGAAAAGCCAGTAAGAAATGAAGCAGTAGAGGTAGCCGTTTTAGGACAGGTTGTTGCGGATCCAACTCTTAGTACACGAAAGCTTGCCGTACTATCTGGAGTAAGTCAACGTACCGTCGGGCGAATTTTGAAAGCTCACAGATTCCATCCCTATAAAATTAAACTGGTTCAGGAACTTAACGAAGACGATTTTGATCGTCGCTTACAATTTTGTGAAATCATGAGTGAACGTGCTATACGAGATCCAAATTTCCTTTTCAACATTTGTTTTTCGGATGAATGCAGTTTTTATCGCAACGGGACTGTCAATCGTCATAATTGTCGGTATTGGTCAGATTCCAATCCAAGAGTGTTTCATCAAGTACATACTCAACACCCAGAAAAGTTAAACGTTTGGGCTGGAATATTTGGCGATCGTGTTATTGGTCCATTTTTTTTACCAGGTAATTTGACTGGGGACATGTATTTGGAATTACTCGAAGATACCGTTGATCCAACGTTAACAGACATAATAGAAAACGATAACCGATACCTTGAAGATCACCTAATATTCCAACAGGACGGAGCTCCTCCACATTTTGCTGCAGCAGTTCGTCAGTATCTGAATGAAAGATTTCCTAGACACTGGATTGGAAGAAGAGGATTCATTGAATGCCCCCCCCGATCTCCCGATTCATCCCCCTTAGATTACTTTTTGTGGGGCCATTTAAAAAGTAAAATATACGCCACTCAGCCAGGTTCTTTAGACGAGTTACGTCATCGTATTATTACCGAATGTCGTCAAATAACTCCAGAAATGCTCCAAAACGTCAGACAACGTTTCGAGACTAACTTATACTCATGTATGGCAGTTAATGGAGAACACTTTGAGCAGCTATTGTGAATTATTGTAGTTTGGAATGATTGTAGTAAAATGTATGCAAGCCTTTCCAATTTTTAAGTTCATACACTGTCATTTTTTAAATTTTTATTCTTTTTTTCTGAATTGTTCAAAGTAGCTTTCAAATGAAGTATCATACTTTGGAATACGGAACAGTTGTTTTTCCCGCAAGAGGGCGCCAAAATAAAAAGTTACGTAGCGAACACTCACATGGCTGAATTCCTTATCAAATAACCTTTTCAGTGATGTGTCACACTTAGTACTTTCCCTATTTAAATTGTATGGGTGATAGTGACCAAGGGGAGGAGAGAGAGGTATGACAGTTGAGGTTATGGTAGAAAGATGTCCCCCTTGGTTTACAAATCGACGTGTTTTTGCATTTTTTCCACAACACATGTGTCTATAAGATATTCGATCTGTTCCGTTTTTGGTGTCACACCCTGTATGCCTGACATTGTGATAATAAATACATTTTTCAAATGTGAGGGAAGCTGTATGTTGTTGAAATAGTATTAAATATTCGTATTTATCAAAATTTGATAGTTGGTGTATTGATTCTAATGATTTAACTACTGGTATTTCCATAATCATAAAGACTTTATTCATCAATTTCAATGATAAATATAACAAATATTGTACATTAAAGTAATATTTAAAAATAAATATATCATTCTTAATGAAATGAAAAATAAATATCTAGTTTACCAAAATATAAAACATTTACATTGTACTGATCCGTTTTCAAATAAACAACTTTTTATATAATCATCTACTTAATAAGTTCTCCACTCACGCCAAAAATAAAGATTGTGTGAACCCCAGAAAAACCAAAACAACAATTTGTTTTTCTTGGCCTCACCCAAGCAATTATTCAATGAAAAAGCAAACTAGAACTTCTAATTATTCCAAATGTTTTATAAAAATGTTCTGAATATTAGGCCTGACAGAATTTGATTAGGTACGGTACCGCTTAGCTCAGGTTTACCTTGGAATGTATATGGAATGTCAAAATATGCCAAGGACTTGACAAAAAAATCGAAAACTAATTGATATTTGTGGGTTGGTCCACCGTTCAAGCATACACTTCCTGTAAACCCAAGCTTTGTTTCTGAGAAGTTTCTATAATAGTCTTTCTAGAATATTTCGTATTTCAACTAGTATACAAACTACAAGATAGAAGATCACTATAAAAGACACAACAGGATTCGTTATTGTATGCTAGGTCTGGTCCTCATTGGGGGGCTGTTGCTCATGACTAGTGTAGTTCCAGGACAAGCGTTTGTGGATGCTAGCGTCTCTATTGTCGTTTTTCTGAAAACAAGAATTCGCAGTTAACCTCTTCATTTGGAAATTTTACACAAGTCTTTAAGACGTCGTTCGGACGTATATTCCACTACGTAAGTACGTCTTTGAGACGTACATTTTAGGTCTCAGGGACGTATTTTAGACGTCTTGAAGACGCACATTTTCAGTTGGCGACTAGTGCAGACAAAAGAAAAAAGAAAAGAAAAGAAACGACCCCAAAAACCGGTAGACTCAATCGGTCACCTATCCAAGTACTAACCACGCTCGTTGTTGCTTGAATTCGTTGATCGGACCTCATCGTACTAAATTAATTTATTCATTACTTTATCTTGAATACATGGACAATTTCAACACAAGGAGCTTATTTAATATAAGAGAATATATAAAACAATCCTTCACATAGTGTGGTGTTGGCTGGTATCAGCCATGAGGGTGTTTGTTCTGCGATTAGAGTCCTAGTCAATGAATCTCATCCCCTGAAGCCATGCTCCTTACAATGAGAAATCCCTGAATTGAACACAGTTGGCTTGGGGTCGAAAACGAACATTAGCCTGATGGAAATATGTTGTTCTGATGAGGAAAAATGAAATATAAAAACCCTCTTCAATAATGGTCACGGTGGAGCCATCATGATGCTTTGTCGAAATTTCTAGGACAACGCTTATGCTGTGTCCAAGAAACTTCGCGGAAGCCATCATGCTCCTTACAATGAGAAATCCCTGAGGTGAACACAGTTGTGTTGGGGTCAAAAACGAACATTAGCTTAATGGAAATTTGCTGTTCTGATGAGGAGAAATGAAAAATAAGAACCCTCTTCAATAATAATCGCCTTGGATTCGCGCTTGCTGATCATATTCAGTGGACACGCCCAGAATTGACCTCTGCCAATCAGCCGACTGGAGTGGCTCATAAATATGAGCAGCGAGACACGTTTTGACTCTAGCTTGTTTAGTGCCACGGTGGAGCCTTGATTCTTTGTCGAAATCTCTACGACAACGCTTACGCTGTGTTCAAGAAACTTCGCGAGATTTCATATTTCCAGGATGAGAATCCTACAGATCGATTAACGGTTCCCAAAAACATTGATCGACTCATACAGGGTGACATTTTGTTAACTTCCCAGCCTCAATATCTTCATTCATGTAAATAATATGAAAAATCGAGATGACAGGTCAATTTTATTTTCAAATGGGTAATTAAAACATGCCTGCATTGAGGTGCTTTCGAAATCTTCCTACCATTTGAACTGAAAGGAGAGCCAATACTGACCTGAAAAATATGCATCTCAGTGTAGGCATGTACCAAATTACTTCTGTAAGTTTGGAACGGCATTTTTCGGAAACTGCTTATCAAAAAAAAAACTAGGGTTTTGTTGAAAAGAGAAGTGAACGCCCTTCAAAACAATGTGCATCTTGACTCCCTTTCCGTATGAGGTTCTGAGGGTAACATCTATCCCTTCTAGGGAGTTGAACGAAGAGGGCTAAGAATATGCATTTTAAGTGTTTCCTTGTAAATGAAATTGACGTGTATTTTTGATTTTTCGTATCATTTACTGAAAGGAAGATAATGGTGGGAAGTTTTCTAAGTGACACGGCATATGTATGTAATCATATCATGTCAATGATATGAAATATAACTATCAAGTATTAACAGATTTCACGAAGTTGACCAAAGAATGATCTGGCCAAAATCAAGAAAACAGTAATTAAGGACGATAAGGTACATTGATTGATAATGGGTAGTCTGGAACTACCAAAGTGTACTCTTGTCTTGTCTTTATTGTAATGTCTAATAAAAATATGTTATGACTGAAATAACCTGGGTACGAAATCACACAGGTACACTGTTTTTCCACTAACCAAACCGAATTTTTAAATGCGTTGATACGTGTTTCGCTAACTATAATGTCATCATCTTCAAGAGAAGATTAAAACTCAAAACGGGTTTAAAGATTAAAACTATCAAAATTGGAAATAGGTTTTATCTTCTCTGAAGATGCTAACAAAGTTAGTGAAACACGTGTCGAAGCATTTGAACAATTGGTTTGGTTGGAGGTAAAACAGTGCAGTGTGATGTTCTTCAGTGCCCTCCAAGAGATGCTGCGGCCTACACCCTATTTATCAATAATTTACCTTGATGTCATCCACAAGGCCTGCTGTATGATATCTACTACTCCTTTTCATAGCTTGGCGGTGCTGCCCTCTATTAAAGGATTCACAATTCTCTTCTCGCTGTGAGATGCCTGCGGAAAATACCAGTAACTGTCATATCGATTTATTTTCGGCAAGAAGATTCATTGATATTCAGAGTATTAACCACTCATTACAAAGATAAAGTTTGGTAATGAGTGAAAAGAAGCGTTGGTGCTACGCGCTAAGGCTATTACTATTCTATAGTGCTCTAGATTCTAGAGTATATGGAGTTTTGGAAACACGTTATAATCATAATTATTTTATTTGACAATTAAAGACACTTGTGAGTTAACCAAACTTCATGGATACAATTTTCAATTGTTGATAACAGTAGGTATATTCTTGCGTTTCACTTTTCGTATTGTGTTAGTTAGTTCGACGATAACGAGCAGAGCAGAGTGTTGTACAGAGTTTTCCAATATTTTTGTTGCTTATATAGTGGAGACAGGGTTTCTACTGGGTGATTCAGGTTTTGAGGCACAAACTGGAATGTGTGATAGATCTCATCATTTTAATCAAGAAAGTTTATGTTCACATAAGTAACTAGGTAACGAGATTGTCCATACATTTCAATTAACAATTTTCTAGAGAAAGCAGTACGAAATATTTCCAAAACTACAACATCATATCTACTTGCTATCATTGCGGTTGCTTTTGACGTGTGGGATGAAAATATTTTCCATTAAGTTCCATCAACTTTACTATTTTCAAAGCTAGCATTTCCAAAACCCAACCAAACATTGAAAATAAACACTACTCACAATAATTTAGTGATATTAGGTTGGCTCACAGTGATCTTCTTCTAGCGATGTGAATACAATACGAGACAAGAAAAAAGGGATATCAGAATTTTTCTGAAGAAATCAGCTTGCCTATTCTACATAAAGAAACACTGCCTTATACGTTATATAAACGTATTATCTTCAATATAGTTTAGATAGTAACAGGCTCATCAGGCCCCAGTATTCGAGAAAATGATTCGCCATGTGATCCAAAGGATCGGACATATTTTGACGATGAAGATCTAATTATTGTGATTCCAAACAAGTAATTATAATAGATTCATTTATAGTTAGATATCGACAATTGAAATTATATATGTCGGCGTCAAACAGTATTGCCGGCAAACAGCGTAACTCTAAATTTCGAACACCGTTTGCCTAATACTTTCAGGCATTCCCTGTAATGACGGAACGAAGGTTCATTTAGGCCGAGTCAGCTTAAGTTGTTTAGAAGCAGTAGTCTCTTCTGTTCTCTCAAGTAATTTTCTGAAAAATACTTTCTAGGAAGAAGGTTCATTTAGGCGGAAAAATAGTCTCCCTTCTTATGCATATGCAGAAAGGATATTTTCCTTCCTCAACCCTCCGGCAAACAGACTAACGGCTGAAAATGGAAGTTACGCTGTTTGCCGACAATACGTGAAATGACTAGACATTTCAGGGAATGACGGATTTCAATAATTGGCGCCGACATATACAAAACCCTGAAGTCACATTTAACAAATTCGTTTATTCAACTATGGATTACATTTTGTTTTCTTTTGAAATATATCGTTGATTAGATAGGTATTAATAACGGTTTTACTATTTTTCGCCACTACTATAGTACCTAGTAAAAGAGGGCATCATCTGTCCTCTCTATATAAATTGCATTATTGAATTTGATTTGCGTTCGACATATTACTGAGCACTTTACAAAAATTATGATCAGCTAAAAAGGTTTCATGAAGCGATATAAGGAGAGAGGTTATTATAGACTGTTATTGAGTGCCTATCATAGAACTTGATTAGCTGATCTTGATCAATATATAAATGACGAGGGTCTTAAAGATATGTTGAGTTATGTTAAGTAGGTACCGTCTATTTTGGTGGAGAGGAAAGTCGACTATGTAGTTGATACGATGTCTATACCTTTTCAACTTCAATTTCGGAAAAAGTAATCTCGATTTCAGAATTGGTTAGTTCGATTTCAGAAATGGTCAATTTCAGAATCGGTGAGATGAATTTCAGAAAAAGTCCATTCAATTTCAGAAATGGTAAGTTTTATTTCAGAATTGGTAGGTTCAATTTAAGAAAAAAATCCTTATATTTGTTCAAAATGTGTCCAATTGTATGTGGGATTAACAAACCAAATTTACAATATTCAACTTGTCAAAAACAATTCAATAACATAATTATAATCTCAATTTAATCCACAGATGCCTTCCATCCGAATCGCTGGAAGATAATAGCGTTGCACATGATTATGAGAATGCAAACACATTTGAGGTGTTATCATTTTCATTGAATGATCTGCACATTCCTCAAGACATCGCAGTCTGAATTCTATCTGGTTGAGCAAGCTGTTCGGATCCCCAGCTATGACCCTTTGGCGATGCTCTTGCAAGAAGCTTTTCACTTCTGACTTGAAGGCACCCCATATATGTTCAATCTGATTCAACATAGGGCTCTCAAACACCGTTCATCCACTGTAAACAATCTTCCCTTTTGCAATTAAAAACATTTCAAACATAAAATGATTTCATCTTCTGAAATTGAACCTACCAATAATAATTCTGAAATACAACTTACCATTTCTGAAATTGAATGGACTTTTTATGAAATTCATATCACCGATTCTGAAATTGAGTTTACCATTTTTGAAATCGAACTTACCAATTCTGAAATCGAGATTACTTTTTCCGAAATATAACTCACCGATTCCGAAATTGAAGTTGAAAAGGTATAAACATATTCATTCAAGTTGTGTTCTATTCTTGCGCGAACTTCAGACTTTGACCCTGATTAGGAAGTGATGAATTTGCACTATTCATCACATAATAAAATACCTAACATTGCAACTTATAATAAGATGAAGGTACCTGGATTATCCATGCAATATTCCATCAGTGATATAATGATGCTGCAATACTATCTATAATTAAATCGACGATTCGCCATCAGCATTATGATAATCAGATAGCCATAATCTGTACCGGATATACATATACAGGGTGAGTCATAACAAGTGGGACATAGGGCGGATTGTTTTTGGACCACAATATGGCGATAGGACCAAATGCCTTGATAAAATATCGCTGTGTAAAAAGATGCAGGGTGTTTCAATCGAAAAAATAAAAAAAATTAAATCACTGACAAGAAATGAAATTCACCAGCAACAATTATATCTGACAGTCCAAGGCCCACTCTTCATGAATGAACTTTGAACTGTTCAATTGCATTCTTCTCGAAAACGGATGGAAATATTGTTTCAAACAGGATTCGAGTACCAATATTACGTCAAAATGATGTTTGTCATATTTTCTAATCAAAATCACTAAACATTTTGTCAAAAGAAGTTATGACTCGATTTCATATCAATCATTCACGGGGAATAATACATAAAGATTGAAAGTTTCAATCTTGTCCTGAAGATGCTAACATAGTTAGCGAAACACGTGTCGAGGTATAAAAAATCGGTTTGGTTAGTGGTAAAACAGTGTGTAGTGTAGTATTATCGTACCAAAGGTTCCAGTCTTCGATATAAAATACTTACTATTGAGTCACTTGAGCATGTCAGTGTCAAAGCATCTTATCATATCATCTGTCACCCGACACGTTTTTAGTCTCTAGGAGTCAAACTTCAAATTTAGCTCCTAGACACTAAAATTGTTGCCTAGCAGCATACATACTAATCATTTTATTGTGGCAGTAAGAGAAACGTCAACTTCAATACCTAATTTGGGAACAAAAATGGACTTTTGAGCCGATTACAGAAAAAGTATATGTTTCGAAAAGGTACTTGGGATAACCAAATGAAACCTGAACGCCCTTATGCATATATGGCAGTCGGACATTTATTAGCGCTCTGTGCCAATAAGCGTTTACTCGAAGATTCTTTTGTGAAATATACGCGGTAGTCCGAGCGTTGTCGTACCGAGCGCTCTATACAGGATGGCATTGAAATGAGTGCAAATATTTCAAACCATGAGAAAGCTCGACGTATACTATCGAATGCCACCAATAAAAAAAATATAAGGATCAGAATAACATTTGTGAGATAAATTTTGTCATCCAAAATTCTACACTGTAGCAATTCTAACGTCACCTCTATATTCAAATTTCCGTGCGGAAGGCACAAAATCACGTGGAGGTCAATCATTTAAATTGTTTTGAAGTGGTGTTCTTGATTTTTTCTCAATTTTTTTCTCTCGTTAATTCAGAGAAGTAGAAGAAAATATGATATCATGTGAATATTCGTGAGTATTTAATTTATAGGTATGTAGTTATTTCAATAAACCTGGTATATGCCGAAATCGGGCGTTCCGAATGCGGTTTACTGTGTGCTCATACAAAAATGTTTCCGCGCTGTATTACCGAAAGTTGCAGAAAACTGAAAATATTGTAGTTAAATAACGAGCACTTTGGAAAACCTCCGTATAAAGGAGTTTGAAAACCAGCTTTGATACGTATACTGAATAAGACTTCAAAGCACTTCAAATAAACCAGGAAAAACTCTTCTATTTGCCCTAGTGAGCAGTGTATCTGCTAGGCGGAATGTTCAAAGATACTTTTACCTCCTTAAAATTGTCTGATTATCAGACCTAACCCCTATTCTTATTTCTAATATTCATGCATCATCCAGTATTTACCACAGGTATGTATCTACGAAAAAATATTCGAATTTCATCGATATTCACCGCAATTTTACGGGTATTTGCTGGAATATCTGGATCGTCAGCCACGATCCTGCTGATCTACTGAATATGAAACGTGTTCACATAGCTTCGGTCCCAACTTAATATGGAATACTGCATAATGCCCTCCGAACATCAGGATATCGTAGATTTCAGCATTAATTCAAATGCAACGATATTCCCACGTTTTTGGTGAACAAAAAATTGTCATTGAAAAGGAATATTCTCAGAACACAAAAAAATTGATATATATATATAAAGAAATACATCGAGAAATCGCATTCTCCATGTGATGAAAATTTAAATTCTTTATCGGTTTATTGAACAGAAAACAACTACTTTCCTGGCTATATGCCACGAAGAATATTGAATTAC